AACTTTGTTGTCACTATTCATATTGCATCATTTCTGACGTCATGCTGATGCCTAAGCCGTTTGGCCATCCCCAGCCGAGCCGTTCTCGAGTCGAGTCATATAAGCCTAGCCCAGCCAGATTTTTTTCCCTGCCATTTCTTTCTTGGTACGCTTTTGTCTCCTTTTTAGGATTTCGCTCAGTTTTTTCTCTCCTACACGCAAACTCCCATGCCCCCTCCATTCTTCACACATCTCATTTCTCTCTCTCACGCTTTTCCTTTTCATTTTCTCCCTTCTATATCAGTCTTCCCCTTCTACATCTAGAAACAAGCCCTCATCTTCCTCCTTACCCTCCACCTCCACCGGTACCGGGAAGCATATGGACCACCGCGAAGCTCGAGCGCCGTCAAATCTTAATACCAGCAAAGAACAAGTGCTCCGATGGTGCGTAAGTTTTTATTTTTTTTTTCTATTTTTTGCAATATGCGAATTCTAGGCGATTTTAGTGGAGTTTGTGGATATTAAGTTTTCAGTGATTGAATATATTTTGGGTCTTAAGTTTCAAAATATTTCCATTTTGTAAGCATTAAACTCGAAGTGTTCCTGTACCAGTATCATATAACGTATGGTGTAGATTTGATTCTCTAGGGAATGTCGTGGGATGTATAGACAGTCTCTTATTACTGTATAATTATTTTCCCCCATCACGTGGGAAAAGAATGACACTGTAGTCTCTAGAAATTTTTGAATTCTTTGTTTTATGTGGAAGAAGAGGTTAATAGACTATTGTTAAAAGAAAATTCAGGAATATGCATTTAAATATGGCAATGCAGTGCATAGGGCTTTTGATGCATGATAGTTGTTGTTCAATTTTATATGGGAAGGAAGCAAGAAAGGCATGGATTTAAGGAGCTATGAGGTGAGAGTATGAAGACATGAAGATTTATAGGAACTGGATGCTGTATTAACATCAAAGGTAATTTGTGTGGAAGCTAACTGTGATCCAGATACCAGGAAGTTGAATATTGTTGGCTTGGTGGTGAAACATTGTAAAGCAGAGGATATGGGAAACAGGTTTGCTATGGAGGTAGTTGGGAGGTAGAAGTCAGTAGAAGGTAGGTCAATCCTTTGTTGGCAATTATCGAATTCAGATGTAGAAGGAATGAAATATCATGTTGGAAATGAAAATTAAGGACGAAACTAACTGGGAAAGTTGGTAATAAATTTTTTTTCTTTTGCAACATAATCCTTTAACGTAGTTGTATAACATAAATGTGAGGACTTAAATGCAAAACCAATATTGTGGCTGAACCAAGATACATAGGTTTGTAGAGCAATGTTCACACCGAGTATGGTAATGACATAATATTTAGCAAACTAATTTCAGATGTTAATTATTGAAAAAGTTACCACTTATCACACAGAAAGGGTAAATTAACTGTTCATATTATAATGGCTAATGTTGAAATTCAGCTTCTTTTCTGATCTGGAACTGCTGCATTTTTCCCAGTACTATGTTGCAATTGAATTTTACATTTGCAAGAACTTTTTTGATTTTCTCTCATAAGCTGGATTATTCTTTTACATGTTTTACAAGCTTTAAGGAGATTGAAAGGAACCTCAGGTAACAAGAAGCAGAAGATGTCAGCAGAAACTAAACTGCTGTTTGATCAGCTGACTGAAGATGCTATCAAACTGATGGAGAGTGGGGATTACAGTTGAGTGTCTCCTTCAATCGTTGAGATAATCTAGCTGAAACATAGATCCTGATCTCTTATATTAATCCTTTTTCCCGATAATCTATATTTGTTTCACAGATGTGTGTGATGAAAAACAAGAGAGTTTCCAGCGTGAAGCAGGTCTGTCCTACAGCTGATTTTCCATCATTTCTTCAATAAGTTCCCCTTCATGTTAATCTTTCAACATGGGCTCACCATCCTTCTCATATATTCTTTCGTTCTTGTCTTCATAATAACATCATTTTTATTACTCTTAGAAAGGGTTTGGGAGTATGGGTCTTCCTTTCTGGTGCTTTCAGCTTT